GCAGTTGAATGCTTGTGCTGTTCACGCTGCCATGCAACGCCAAATGTGTCCTGGCTCCATGTGCTTGGATGATTTATTTGACACATGTCTAGCCAGCCTTTCAAATTGCTTTCGATACGGGCCATTGATGTCACGATCAGCCTCATCCATGTTTATGATTGCAGAGTTGAACATTTACAGCCCTAAGAAAGCGGTATAGTGCCACACTGTGACGTAAAACGTTCCAGACAACGCTGTTTGCTCTCTGCGCAAGGGGCAAAGCGGTGCACAAGAAGCATCATAGTTTGAGAACAAAGAGTATTTACCACCCCAACATGAGATTGTAAGGGACTGTAAAACCTGAGTTGCGCCGGGAGGAAGCAAACATAATCGCACCAAGGTTGGTTTGCAATCCCTTGTAGAAGCACATTCTGCTAGTGAAACGAGTTCAAAATGTTGGGTGTGATCTACCTTTCCCTGCTTCTGAATATGTGTGGATTTGGGCATGTAGCTGAAACGAGGAAGAAGAGGGAGAGAACGGATGGAACATGAGGCATGAGAGGAAAGGAGCAATTGAGTTGGATGCGGATGCGAGGGTCTCATTGGTCGTGAGGCTGGGTGAAGGCGAGGGGAAAAAGCGGGCGCCCAAAAGCACCGAAGGGAAGAAGCGTGGCTTGGACCTGCACTTCGCATGACCAAACTGCTTCTCCAGTCTGCATGCTGACTGGGGTGTGCTGAGGGACAAGTGGAAGTAGTTGATGCAGTTCCGCATTCAGTCTATTTTGAAGGGCCTGCAATCTGGGTGAGGAGGCATGAGCTGCGCCTGATGCAGCGGCCATGTCATGACATACACACATAGATGTTGCTTTGCCGTGCGTTGGGAGCAAAAAGCTGTTGCTCCATGCGGGTATAGGATCTTACTGGGGCTTCAGTTCAACATGGTCTCAAAGCACCCGGTGCGAGAAGGAGTGCGCTTGCCTTGAATCGGTAGCAGGGACTTCCTTGTTTTTTGGCACCTTTCGTCCAAATATATGTTATCAGTCCTCGGGTAATGTTCAGTGGGGGCAGTATCCGCGATGCGGCCTCCTGCAAGGTGGCAGAGCGAGAAAAGAGAAGAAGCAAGAAAGCAGTAGCTTTACGTCCAGCCAGACCCTTAACCCTCGCACATGCTGCGGCTTGATGTGGGAGAGCTAGGGTTGCCGAAGTCTGACGAAAAGACGTGCTCCTCGAAACCACTGCCCGAGCTTGTTGGATGTTGACTACTTCCTTTTTTTTGCTGATCTGCGAATGTGTCAAACAGAAGGTTGTGGCACAGCCACTAGCATTTGAACTGTTTTGGCATGGTAGGACAGAATCTCATCCACAGCTGCCACTGTCCGACTTCTCCTCACTATAAGAGAGAACTCCCCGTGGGGCTCCTAAATGCACTGGGCTTGAACCAAGCACTGATCATATCAAGAACCACCCCCTTTCTGATCCTACCCCATTCCGTTCCACTGTTTTCACGCACTACTTCTCTGAAATCGGGCAGGACTGCCCAGCCGGCCCATAGCCCAGGCAACCTATGCTTTTCTTAGGTCTTTGGCATGCCTTCTGGCCTTGCAGTGGAAGCTGGCAGTTGAGCTAACGGTCCTTTCACGACTCCAGCGGTTCTTGGGTCCACCCTAAACCCAGCATTTCAACGAACAATAAGGCCAACCTTGATCAAACCAGCCCTAAACACACCCTAAACCAAACACATGTCCCGCGAGGAACGACCCAAAGAAACATCAATCTTCCCCCATGGCCTTGCGGGGTGGGGTGGGGTGGTCATGGCCATGCTGAGTCAGGTGTGTACCTCTTTGACTGTTTGTTGATGAACATGTCTATTGATTGAAGTAGGGGAAAACAAAAAACAGTGTTCGCTGATTCGCTCAGAGGTTCGGGAGGCCAGGTTAAGCCAACAGGAGCTCGCTTGTGGCCCGGAGCCTCTTCTCGTGGTCCCTTGTAGGTTGAATTGCTCGTCTGGGTTTGTTCTGCACGCTATTTTGTAGCGTGCTCACCCATTCCGGGGGCACAACGAGCTCACTATGACAAAGATCCTTTAATTACTTGAGGATCCCTTAATTCAGCTTTTGAAACTATAGTAGCATTTGCTGATTTGTTAGATCACAGATGTGTGATGCACAGTTATGTCAAGGCCAAGGCCCGCAAGTTCAGCATGTGTCTGCTTGCAATTGGAGCGGTCGCCCAAGGTAGCTCCGACAGCTCCGACAGCGAGTCAGCGCCAGCAACAAAAGTGGCCCGGACAATACCGCGGCAACGAGCGTGCGCCAAAATGCTGGTGCGAAGTGGCTTACGAGCCTCAACTGCGTGTTAATTTGTTTCCAGCTACGAGATAAACTAAGGCAACGTTGGATCGGGCTCGCGGGCCAGCAACCTGAATGTCACAAGGCAGAACTCAGTAGGCATGTTGATCACAGTAACTTTGTACCACGTCATGAGCCAGACATTGGTTTGGAAACAGCAGGCGTACAATGCGAACAGATTTTGGGCTGTCGGAACTCTTTGCAGATGCAAACCATGAAGCATGATGTCTACTTGTAAGTTTTGCGTTGTCGAATTGGGCCCTGTACTTGCTGACATGGTAATGTATGAGTGGATGGTGCATAGCGAGCGGCATGCAACTTGTCGTATCGTAATTGTTGTGGTTGTGCCATGTTGTGCCCTTTTCGTTACAGGACCATATAGGATTGTTGCAGCTGGGCAGCCGGGCAGCCGAGCAGTCGAGCAGTCGAGTTGTTAAAAGGTGAGGCCGCCTGATGGTTTGCACCAGCAAAATCGAGATGACATTAGGCCAACGAGATGCAAGCAGCCAAGCTAGTTAGTCGGGATCCTGGATGGTTTGGACAATACTTGGGCGCCGCTCGTGCCAGTGACTCCGCCTCTTCGCTGCCTTGCAGCCCTTAAGCGCGTGGGTTCCTTTGTCTTGGGCTGGCCTTGCCGCTAAGGATGTGTTTGCCACTATCAGCTTAGATGCCCAGACCGTGCCCAGGCTGGTTGGGATTCACAGCGGCTTTGTCGTTGATTAGCCTCAGTTCCTGCAGTGTTCATGGCGTTCGCTGCTGGAAGGTTTGCTCCTGCTTTTGCTTTTGCTGCTGCTGCCATTCTGGCCCGGACATGCGCTTACATGTATGTGCTTGGTAGGCCTCCGCGCGGCCAGGCACGGCGGGGAGACTTGGCGTTAATTGGTCAAGGTAGTCATATATGCTTGGGGTGGCTTTCTTTTCGCACCACGCGCTTGTGGCAAGAGAGCGCTGCACGCCAGCTTGCTTCAAACTTTTGCGTCAGCAAGGGCTACGCACGCATTTGAAGCGTGGCTTGGGTCGCCCAGCTTCGTCACTTAGGACTGCGGCGTGAGCAACCTCACCGCCAAGAAGCCTTTCTGATGCAAGGTCGACCCCGCGATCTTCTCGACCAGGGCCTCCAGAAGCTTTGCTTCGGCTATTCAAGTGAAGCTGGTGGGATGCAAATGGTTTTTGTATTGCGGTATCTCCCTCAACCTAAGAAGCAAACAACTGCGGCGTGACAAGCGCACTCCCTTGCTTTGTGTCATTGTTCCGTACACCTGGTGGCTCTGGCCCTTTGGCAAGCGGGTGGTCCGTAGTGTGCGGCTAGACACGTCATGCGACTGGCCACGTCGACGCCTAATGCGTGCGTTTGGAAGTTTGGGCAAGTTGCGCGAAATCCGATTTCAAGAATTGCGGTTCAGAGCTTTGGACAGACGGTGTTAGGCCACTGTGGCCTTTGGTGAGGATTTGTTTTTGCATGCTTGCTTGCCTACTGTAAACACAGCAGGGGCACACATGGGCATGTTGTGCTTGGGCTGCATGTTCTCGCTTGCGATGGACAAGTCTGTGGTTCGGAAACCAAGATTGTCGCAGGCGCATACCAATCATTTTGGTTCTGCCGATGGAATTTGTATTGAGCTACCGCTGGCTAGTTTGAATGAAGGGTTCGTCACAATCAGGCATCGACGCGGCCGGTAGAATGCTGCCCTGGTAGATGTGATGAGGCTGCGTGCCTTTTCACATTTTGACTCGAGGAATTGGGGCTCGCAATTTCTGATTGTCTGGCCTGCAGCAAGGTTTGGCCAATCATTCTTGCAAGCGCAGGTTGCTTCAATGCTCGTAGTTTTGTTTTTGCACAGCCTCCAGGTTGCGGCGAGTCCCCACGGCGAGCATGACTAGCATCGTGTTAGTGTGCTGCGCAACCGGCACGCTGCAATAAAAAGCCGCTTGCGGGGGTGGTTCGCATTGCTGGACGCACGGGACAATTCCGTGGACCCAGGCTTTGAAGCCTTGAAGCGCTGCTCAGTTGTTCAGTGCCCTTCCCGTGATCCTGGCACACCTCAATGAGGGGCCCCTTACGGCGCGGTGTTCGTTGTCGGATTGGAGCCCTGTTCCTGCCAGGGTGTGCTGGGACTTTGTTTCCTCTGTGCTGTGAAGGTTTGCCTAATCCCCCCTTCGCCCCTTGTCCGGCTTGTTTGTTTTTGAGCGTTTTGTCTAATGAGTTGTTTGTGGTTTTAATGCCATTGCACGCCAGAAAAAGTCGATTTCTACATGGGGTGTTGACTCCAGGGAAGCCGGTCTTGAGCTATTATTGCGGGTAACACCAAGTGGGTCTCAAATGCCAGGCCAAGTTTTACTGTTTGAGAGTAGGACGCGCAACATGTGTGAAAACACATCACGGCCACTACAAAGCACGATTCTAAAATTCACACCTGTGTAACGTAAGTGCACTACTCCCAAATCACTAACCCTAGAAGGCTTGCCTGGGGAACTCGATAGAACACAGCAATATAACCGCATGCCCATCCTCTTGAAGGGAGCGTCTTAGGAAAGTAGAAGCCCTCTTAGATGTTAGCGCAAGAGTACCTACTTAGTGTCTTGTTTCGCAACCTTTGCGCGCCGCAATGGTAGCTGTAAAGTTGTGCCTTTGGGCCGTGCACCCCGAACCTGCCGTGTGACCGTGCGTGCCAGGAACACGCAGAGCAGGTGGGGCGCATGGCCAAGACCCACCTGCCGATGACTATCTTCGATTGATCCCAGATCATGTATTGATGGAAATTGTGTGTGTTTTTTAACCAAAGACCCCTCAGACAGTTGCATCTTAAGCCAATGAACGCTGCCCCCCAGCCCAAAAACAAGAACTCCCTACACAGTCCTTCTGGCTTCTGGCGCCCGGTGAGTGGCGAGGAAGTTCCACTTTTAAGGTGGGGACTTGGTCGGCTTAGCCACGGAGAGGCATGCTGTTAGGGAATTCGGAGAGGCCCAGGGCTCAGGCAAACCCAGCCCGAAACCCCGAAGGCCATTACGTTTTAACTCCAGGAAGCAGCAGTTCTACAGCTGGAGCAGGAAGTGGAGGCGGCCCTTGGAAAGCCTGCTTGACTCGGAGACAGAAGGAGGGATACGCATGTGTATACTGTACAATTCGATCTTAGACATTGAGGTCAATGGCACTTTCAGGCTCAGCAGTTGCGAAATCAGAGTGCACTGTATGACCTTCTCAGGTGTGCAGTGAAGCTTCACTGAGCCTTGCAGTTTTTGACTGCAGGCCTTTGATTGTCTCACAACGACTCTCAGCATTCGCAGAACGCTATTTTATATTATTCGTATTATTATTGTTATTATTATTATTATTATTATTATTATTATTATTATTATTATTATTATTATTATTATTATTATTATTATTATTATTATTATTATCATTATCATCATTATCATTATTATCATTATTATTATTATTATCATTATTATGCATATATATATATATATGTGACAAAGGCAATGATTTTAACAGAGCGGTGATCTTCACAGGGTGTTTTTTTTTCCGGGTTCCTTAAGGCGGGAACTACTCAGATTGTGCCTCACTCATGGAGCCCCTTCTGTTGGTCTCTTTGCCTGGCCCAACTCCAAAGACACGTCCGGCTTCGGCGTGCGCTGGCCAGGTCGTAGAGAAGCTGGGGCCGAAAGCTCAGTTTTTTGTTGTTTTGGGCGAGCATTCAGCTTCCCAGTTTAGAAACAAACAGAATGGACTGAGCGAGGAGAAAAATCGTGGGGTTTCTCGCCTGACCTCTTTCTGTTCTGAACGGCTGATGGCGCCACAATTCATCCCGAGCAACAAGTCCTGGCTGGCACTCGCTGACTTGGCGTGGTAGTTTCAGGAGCTGCAAGCATCATCTCCATTCCTGAGCCATCAAGGATTGAGGTGTCAGAGGGTCGCTCGGCGTTTCGCATGAATCAGCCAGGCATGGCCAGGGTCCGTCCATCCAAGCTCTTCCACCAGATGCGAGCCGGCCTCTCGTTTGCTTGGCTCGAAGCCGGCGTTGCCCAGCCCAGATCCATCCCCGCCATGAGTCAGGACAGGTGCTGCAAAGTTGTCGTGATTTCTTTCTTGAGGCTGTTGCTGCTGGTGCTGGCTGGTGCTGTTGCTAGTGCTGAAAAGGAGATGGACATTTTCAGGTGAGCTTAGTCTCGAGCCTATGTTCGAAGGGTATTTAGGGAGCCCTCTTGGTGTGAAAGTTCCTGGAATGTCTACTTGGCAAAACCATCCCGGCGGAAAAGAAACTGTACATGTTTGAGGGCCTTTGTCCCGAATGCCAGGCCGAAAGTTGAAGATGACTGTTTCACCATTTCACCAAGCCAAATGCCATGACTTCCAGGAGGAGATGTCGAAGTTGCTGGGGGAGTCTGTGAAACAGGAGCTCCTGCGGCGGGTGGAGCGCGATGCGCTGGAAGCCAGGGAAGAGGCAGGGCTTCGCCCTGCGAGCCACGCTGGAGGTTCCATTTAGATACGGCCAGCTCTTTTTGGTTAGGGATCTCGCAGTTGCACGCGGACCAATCTTCTGACCTTGTGGTTTTCCCTGGCCCGGTTTGTAGGGCCCAAAGTTGAGGGCTTTCCAGGTGCTGTGGGCAAGTGAGTCGACAAAAAAAACCGTTGTATGTGTCAATGTAAGGCATGATCCCAGGTCTTTTGGACCTATCAAATTAGCTGCACCGCCGCTTGTAATTTGAATGGCAGGAGTGTGTTGCAGGAGCGGCCGCGCAAGTCAAACATGGGGCCGCGCAAGTAAAGCGCAAGTGAAGCGCAAGTGACGCAGTGATGATTCATCATCATCATCATCATCATCATCATCATCATCATCATCATCCGCATGGTCGAAAGAATCCGGAAGATTGCTAAATTTTCGCGCAAGTCGCAAGTCGCGCGCAAGTCGTAGATGCCTTGGATCAGGAGTGGCCCATTTCTGCAGTTTGCATTTTCTTTGTTTCTGCAGATCCCAGCAATGAGTTGCAGCAGCCAGCAGCAGCAGCAGCAGCAGCAGCAGCAGCCAGCAGCCAGCAGCCAGCAGCAGCAGCAGCAGCAGCAGCAGCAGCAGCAGCAGCAGCAGCAGCAGCAGCAGCAGCAGCAGCAGCAGCAGCCGCAGCAGCAGCCAGCAGCAGCCAGCAGCAGCAGCAGCAGCAGCCAGCAGCAGCCAGCAGCAGCCAGCAGCAGCAGCAGCAGCAGCAGCCAGCAGCAGCAGCAGCAGCAGCAGCAGCAGCAGCAGCAGCAGCAGCAGCAGCAGCCGCAGCAGCAGCAGCAGCAGCAGCAGCAGCAGCAGCAGCAGCAGCAGCCAGCAGCAGCAGCAGCAGCAGCAGCAGCAGCAGCCAGCAGCAGCAGCAGCAGCAGCAGCAGCAGCAGCAGCAGCAGCAGCAGCAGCAGCAGCAGCAGCAGCCAGCAGCAGCAGCAGCAGCCAGCAGCAGCCAGCAGCCAGCAGCAGCAGCAGCAGCAGCAGCAGCAGCAGCAGCAGCAGCAGCAGCAGCAGCAGCAGCAGCAGCAGCCGCAGCAGCAGCAGCAGCAGCAGCCAGCAGCAGCAGCAGCAGCCAGCAGCAGCAGCCAGCAACAATTTGCAGCGGTGTACACACCTGAGACCTCATACACTTAAGGGGCATGTTTTTGGGGGACCTCACTCTTATGAAGACCGCCGCTTGGATTTGCAATGAAAACATCCTGGGATAAGAGTTTTAATACGGGTTTTTTTCCAGCTCAAGTGAGATTTGGATATTACATGCGATCAAGGCTGCAGGATGTTGCATGTGAATGGCTGAAATTGGACGTTTGCTGAGTTTCCCGGTGCAGGACCCATCAAACATGGCAATCGGATGGCTAGTTGACGTCAACCTGCTGGACTCAATCTCGCTTGTCATCGCGACACCCCATTAAGCTGGCATTCTGATTTTTGCATGCGGCCACCTGAATTTCCATGATCAGAGGTTTGCACACGAGTGACCGTTCTGGGGCAACAAGGCAGCAAAACCCTGAGCAGGGGACAGAGTGGCCCAAACGGTCCCTCATGTTTTTGCTTCTTGAAGTATGTGACAGGCTTTGCTTTTTGCTTTTATGGGGGACTACTGCGTGCTGGTCACAATCAGGACATCAGAATCCAACCGGCCCTTCTTATGTCTTTCCCGTGCTCAAGCGTGGCTACAGCAGTGTGCTCATAGTTTTCCGAATGGTTGGTGTCAAAGCCAACGCGCGCTTCCAGAGGCGTGCCCTCCATGCTGCCAGTTGGCAATGCCAGTTGGCAATGTAGTTCACTGTTTCCGTTCAAGGATCTCTGTAGCTTGAATTATGCGCTTGGGCAACAACGAAAAAGGCATCCCGCTTGACCTCGACGAATGCTCGCCTTCACTTCTTCTCGTTCTCAGCAGCGAATCCTAGCACCTTTCCTGACTAGGACCAGGACACGGCTGCTGTTAGCATTCCCACTGGCAACAAGAAATAATCGCAAATACAAACATGAGCCCAAACTGTTTTTGTTTAAAATCGGAAGTTATTCACATACGGGCTCGTCCCAAAATGAGGGAAAGAACTGCTAGCTCGCTTTCGGTTTCTCTTCAACAGTTGTACATTGATGGTATTGGTATTGTTCATCAGCTTGGTTCTATTCATTTACCAGCATCGTACGCACAGAAAAAAGTCTTGCACAAGGACACCTGCGGGCACACCAGATAGATTCCCTCTCTTGCCTTTAAAGCCAACCAAATTGATGCCCCGCCAAACAAGACATGGAAGCTCCATTGTTCTTGCCAACAAAAGCGGGATGTCACATATCCTCCCCGCCAACAAAAACACAAGAAGAAGAAGAATAAGAAGAAGAAGAAGAAGAAGCAGACCGCTCGAACGACCCCTCACATGTCCTCCTTCCCCCCAAACAAAAGCATTGGGATGTCACATATCTCCCCCCCAACCAAAAAGCACAGAAGAAGAAGCAGAACACATATCTCCCCAGCTTCCCCTCCAGCAAACCCACGACACGAGCTTCGCGTCGCTCGCGAGGTGAGCCGCGTGGTGGAGAGCACCTTACGGCAGATGCCGCCGCAGCTGCGGCACCTCCCGGCGCGCCAGGCTCTAGAGCTGCGCCTCGAGCGAGCGCGCGGAGCGAGCGGGGGGGGGGGGGGGAGGTGGACCCGAGGGATCTGGGGTGTGCGCCCACCGATTTTCATGGAACCTCCAAGCCAAAAAGGAGACGTGCCTCTAAACATGGGAGAATGGTTGTCCGTCTTTGGGTTTCACGTTTATCTGCAGAGGCCAGTTTCCTTTCCTAGCTGGAAACCATGTAGGTACCTCAGAATGAGGGTAATATGTATACGTATATTGGCCTCCGTTTGGTGTCCCACTAAGCTAACCTTAAGAGTACCCAGAGCAATACACATGCACCCATATCTTGGCCCACCAATAATGTGTTCTGGCTCTGTTTCATATTCAGCCTCTACACCATGGAACAACTGGTGGAGACCCCATTTGACGTCTCAAAGAAAGGGACCACCGAAGACAGTCCTTCCTCGGTTTCCTTTAAACCAACCCCAAAAACGGTGATGTTGACCCCAAATGAACGAGCCCCCAGCTGTCCTTTGTTGAGGGAACACCCCCCCTTCTGCGGATTGTAGTTAGTTGCTTGTTTGAGCAAAAAGTCCGGAACATGTGAGGAAGTGCAACGTATTGTGTGTTTGCATATTTTAGCCAGTTTTACGAATCCTGCGGCGACACTGGTGGGAAATACGTGGAAGTCTACCGCAAATTTGCGGTAATACGCAACAACCAAAACCAGGTTTCAAGCTGTTGTGGCTGGATACATGCAAATAGGCAGGATTAGACATAAACGTTGTTTGCAGACAGAACATGTATGACAGACATGAACTTTTTCCTGCTCGTTTTGAACAACAGTGGAAATTTGGTTTTTTAGGAGTCCTTGTTTAACTTATCCTAGAAGGCAGTCCGGAATAAACGGTAAGCAAGCGAGATGGGCCTACCCCTGCTGTTAGAGCAGCCTGTGGGTGCCTGTTTCGGGGTACCCCATTTTGACAGGGAATCTAAAATTAGGGAGTCCATCATTCCGAGGCGACCCAATTGGTTAGTGGCACAATCAACTACAAACTATTGCTTATTGATGATCAACCAGCCCCAAATGGCCGTAGTCCATAGGATGCACATTTCGCCTAAGCGGCATCAAACTTCACTCTCTTGTTTTTCTTCTTTCTTTTCTTTTTTCCTCTCGAGGGGTCTTAAAGGACATTGCCAGGTGAACTGTTTTGGACATGTTTGGTTTCTGGGACCGGCGGCCCATGCTGGGACTGTCACGGTTTCGAGAAATCTCGCGACATCCAGGGGATTCCCAGCAAGATGTTCAGTTTGCACGCAGCTCTCATGCAGAGAAGTGAGCCGAAGTGTAACACTCGAATCCCAGCCGAGCCCAAATGATTGTTTGCTTGGGAGCCACTGCTCATCTCTTAATACTGGCAGTTGAGCAACCGTGGCGCATGGTTTAGTGTACGTAGTGTTTCTCTTTATTTTGTATGCCTTCGCATGCCGAAGCCACGAAAGAAGCTGCAAAAACACGTCTGACGGAAGTACATATGTATGCAGATGTTCATGTGTACGCCGCGTACCCTGCACATCGTACCATCTTTTGGCCTCAATTGCCGGGCGTGGAAAGGGCCGCATTACCCGAGATTAGAGCCTGCCACAGCCCGACATGACCTCAGCCGAGCAAAGGCTTGCCTCTGACTTCAGCATCCTGGGCTCTGCTGCCAGCTTCTTCCACTCGGCGCGCGTGACTTGGCTTTGGGGGAGCAAGTGATGGCATGTCTTTTGTGTTTCATGGTGCCAGGTGACCACGTGTTTCCGCTTTCAAGAGCCACACCGCCTGGAGGGGTCCTTGACTTTGAGAAGCGCTCATGCTCAATCTGTTGCAGCTCCAGTCCAGTCTGGTACTGGACCAGCAGGCGCGTTCTGCTGCCTTGCCTGGATGCTCCTTTTTCGGTCCTAGAGATTCCTGGACAATTTCTTTCCCGCATGCCATCAAACTGGTGAACAGCTGTGCAAGGTTCACTCATGCATGAGTTGTGATGTGGTGCTCGACGCATCCAAGGAGGCTCAGGCATGAGCGTGGCGAAATGAGTGTTTGACCCGCGCCCAGCTTTGACTGCTGCCTTCGCGCAGTCAGTTTGCTCTGCTCCCAGGGAGCCGGCAAAGTACTGGGCAATTCACCTTCGCGTGGTACAATTCGATTGCTCGCATGAATAGCGTGGATAGCATGTTCAGAGCAGCTGGATGGTGAAAACAGGCAGCTGCCAGGGCCATCCACGGCTTAAACCTGAGCCTGATTCCAAGGACTGAATTACCTAACTTAGGGCGACGTGAGTTGTGCAAACAAACGCAGGCGGCTAGTTTGAACATGGCTGTGACTTCGAGGGCCTTCAGAGGTGCAGCAGTTCTAGTACAGAGGGAGTTGCACCCACGCGACCAGGTTCTTTACGTTTGCATGTTGCTGAGCACGTCTAGGGCACTGGATCACTCAACCGCATCCTTGGTCATATGGCGGGTTGAGCCAAGTGCTTGACGCGACTCGTTACCATTTGCTTGGTCACGGGCGTATGTCATAGAATGGCTCGAACCATAATTGCACAAGCCAATTTATTGAGAGGACAGCCATGATGTTTTTGCAAATCTAGTTTGAACAGAATCCCCGGATGTGTTGAAACATGAACAGGTAGCCATGTGATCCTGGACGTGCCCAAGAATCAAAAGCAACACGCAGCATCAGACGCTTCTGAGTTGCAATGTGTTGCAGGTTGGCCGCAACAGCCCTCCCACAACTTGAAGCGTTTGTGATTTTTCAAGTAGCTTTGTTTTGTGTTGCGTCTGACTCGGCAGTACTGTAGAGTTCGGAGAGTGGGCGGGCTCCCGGAGGGACTTGTTACATAACTTTTTGCGGCCGTTGCGTGAAGCACAACAGTATCATGCCATTGTCTCCGTCATAGTGTTGTATTGCCATAGCTCTTACACACCGGTTGCTGAAGCTGGTTAGTGGGCGGATCCTGTACACATTTCCGGATACAACTTGAAACATGTAGGCACGACAGCAGGAACGTGTGGAGACAACATGCTGGCCAATGAACAACATTTGGGCCTCAAGGGAAGGTTTCACTTGGTCGACTCTCCACACCACCAAGATGCGACCCATTTTTCTCACTTGCCAATGAGGCTTCAGCCATATTCAGGAGGGGTCAGAATCCCCCCCCCAACCTTGCCACCACCAAAGCCCAGGCGCGACCTGCCCTGGGAGACGGAGAGCGAACTGCAGCAGTGTTTCCGCCGCGCTTGTAGGAGTTTAGTTCTCCGAGGTGCGTGCAATTGAGAGACGCTTTGCTTCGCTTCTTGTGCCCCACACCCAAGCCGCACCATCATAAGGCTTGGGCGGTCTATAACGAAACCTGGCAACGCCTTTGAGCGCTTATGACGTGCGAAGCGAATACTGCTCGCGTTGAAGACTCCACGGAATTGGCAGAGTTGGAGGGGCTCTTCTAAGTTTCAGGGAGCAGTCGTCCACAAATGCTTGGCAGCAATTTGAATAGCTGAGCAGTATCATAGAGCCTGGGTGAACTTCTATGCTGCTTGGTCAGAAAATCTAAATGCTGACTGCCTCTCTTGGCTTTTTCCTTGGGGGCGCGCCTTTGGGATGCTTCCATTTGTGTAAGAGGTTTTTTTTTTTATTTATTATTTCCCCTGTTGGTCTTAAAAGGAATCGATCACTGCTGAAAATATTTGCATCTTTTTTTCCAGGGGGCGAAGAAGCTGCCCAGCGGGCGAGGATTTTGTGGAGGGCGCCTCTGCGCCAGGCAAAGGCGGCTGCAGGAGCTCTGGCGGCGAGAGCTCAGCGGCGTCACCTAGCCGTGGGGGAGGGCTGTGGCGGCTTACGTGTCGAGCATTGGGAGGTCTTTCGGATGGCTCCCAGCCATCCTGCTCCTTAGGTTTTTAGCCTTTTCATTTTTTGTGTTGAGTGGTAGTTTCCATTTCACCCACTAAAAGTTAAGCTTTTAGTGGGGCATCTGAGTGCAGCCCAGTTTTTGAATCATTGACTTTAGATATTAAGGTTCGCCCTAAATATGCACTACAATAAATTGATCATGTGTTGGTTGCGGCGCGGGAGCACTCAGATACACCAAGAGGCACAGTTTGGCAGACCATTCAAGCGTCCGGCGACCCTGGGCGTCTTCTAAAGATGCACGAAGGTGACGTCGTCTTGTTGAAGAGTCTGTGGGTACCTTGTGATACGTTTTGCTGCTTGAGCGTCGTCATAGCTTCTTTCTTTGACCTGTGCTCTTGGACCGGCACGTCTGGCCGCTGGTATACAACAGCAACAGGCACCGTTGCCACATTCACTCACCGTGTCACCTGCCCAGGTGAGACAGAGCATGAGCCTTGCGCCCAGTCGAGATGGTCAATCACACGTGTATACTCTTCAGATGGGTGTTCTTTCATGTCTTTGTGTGCAACTGTGTGCTTGTTTGCTTGGTTGGTTGCTTGCTTGCTTGCCTGTTTCGTTGCTTGCTGGGTTGTTGGTTTGGTTGGTTTGCTTGCTTGCTTGCTGGGTTGTTTGTGCTCGTTTGTGCTTGTTTGTTTGTTTGCTTGCTTGGTTGCTTGATAGCTTGCTTATTTGTTTCTGGGTTTGTTTGTTTATTTGGCTGTCTGTCTGCCTCTTTGTCCCTCTGTCCCTCCGTCTTTCTCTCTCTGTCTGTCTCTCTCTTTCTCCCTCTCCCTCTCTCTCTGTCTCTCTGTCTTTCTTCGCCTCTCTGTCCCTCTGTCTCGCTCTCTCTCTCTCTCTTTGTGTCTGTCTGTCTGTCTGTCTGTCTGTCTGTCTGTCTGTCTGTCTGTCTGTCTGTCTGTCTGTCTGTCTGTCTGTCTTCCCGCCTGCCTGCCTGTCTGTCTGCCTGCCTGTCTGTCTGTCTGTCTGTCTGTCTGTCTGTCTGTCTGTCTGTCTGTCTGTCTCCCGCCTGCCTGCCTGTCTGTATGTCTCTCTGTCTGTTTGTCTGTCTGTTTGTCTGTTTGTCTGTTTGTCTGTTTGTCTGTTTGTCTGTCTGTTTGTCTGTTTGTTTGTCTGTCTGTCTGTCTGTCTGTCTGTCTGTCTGTCTGTTTGTCTGTCTCTCTTTCTCTGTCTCTATGTCTCTTTCTCTCGTTTTGTCTCGCTCTCTCTCTCTCTCTCTCTCGCTCTCTGTCTGTTTGTCCGTCTCTCTGTCTCTTTGTGCCTCTGTCTCTCTGTCTCTCTGTGCCTGTGTCTCTTGTCTCTATGTCTCTCTGTCTCTCTGTCTCTCTGTCTCAGTCTCTCTGTCTTTCTCTACCTCTTTCCCTCTCTGTCTGTCTGTCTGTCCGTCTGCCTGCCTGCCTGCATGTCTGTCTGTCTGTCACTCTCTTCTTCTCTCTCTCTCTCGCTTTCTCTATCTCTCTCTCCCTCTCTCTCTCTCTCTCTGTCTTTCTGTCTCTCTGTCTTTCTGCCAGTCTTTCCCTGCCTCGCTCTCGCTCCCTGCCTTTGTCTCTCTCTATCTCTCTCTCTCTCTCTCTCTCTCTCTCTCTTTCTCTCTTTCTCTCTTTGTCCCTCTGTCCCTCTGTCTCTCGCTCTCAGTCTGTATCTCACGCTCTCTCTCTCTCTCTTTGTCTCTCCTTCTCTCTTTTTCTCTCTCGTCTCTCTCTGTCTTTCTCTCTCTCTCTCTCTGTCTTTCTCTGTCTCTCTGTCCCTCTCTCTGTCTCTCTCTCTCTCTCTCTCTCTGTCTGTCTGTTTGTCTGTCTGTTTGTCTGCCAATCTGTCTGTCTGTCCATCTGTTTGTCTGTCTCTGTGTCTGTCTATTTCAGTTTCTCTCTATGTCTCTCTCTCTCTCTCTCTCTACCCCGTTTGTCTTTCTCTCTCTGTATCTCTGTCTTTGTCTGTCTGTATTTGTCCGTGTTTGTCGGTCTGTCTTCCTGTCTGTGTATCTATTGTCTGCCTGTTTGTCTGTCAGGTTCGTCGGTGGTTGGTCGTTTGGCTCTTTAGTTGTTTTTTGGGTATTATAAATTATAAACGTATTTAGTTTGGTAGTTTTGTTTGGTTGCTTGCTTGTTTGGCTGGTTGGTTGGTCAGTTGGTTGGTGGGTGAGTTGCATGTGTCATTCATTGCTTGCACATGTCAATCAACATCAGCCATGGCACGTTGAGCCGTTAACCCTGCCACGCGGGCGCTTGAGCCATGGGTTGCCTGGCAACTCCAAGGATGTGGGCGGCCCAACGGCACTGCAGGGACCAGCAGCGAAAGATGGCCGGGCACGTCGCCATCTGGGCTGGAGAATCCAATTTAGGGAGACCTTAGACACTTGCTTTGTGACGTTCTGGTTGGCAAGCTTTTTTTGGGTCACCCAAATATCATCAGGGGTCCTTTCTTGTGGCCATCATTCAGGGAGGGTAGCAGCTGGTGTGCAACCCGTGCCTAACTCGGACTTTTGGTGCACATGAAATGAGAAACCAGAATTCAAGCAAGGAGTGACAGGGGACGGCGCAGCATTCGGTTCTTGGGATTGGTATGGCAGGCGCTTCTGTTTGAATCTTTGCACCCGTTGCACAAGATCCAGTTGTAGAGCGAGATGCGCATGCCATGCCATGCCATGCCACAATACAATACAGCACAACAGAGCGTACGTAATATAACCCATCGTGCATATCACAGTAACTATACCCTACATTCCACACGTACCATACACAACATACATGACACGCATGCATACCATGCCATGCCATACCATTCCATCCCATATTGGACCAGATGATAACATGGCATGGCATTGCATTGCGTTGCGCACGCATTCATTCATGCAGAGACACATGCATGATTGTTTGCATGCATATACAACTGTTTGCATGCATGCCTTACATGTACATTTACCTCACGTACGTGCATACCTGTGCCGGCCCTTTTGTGGTGGAAACTAATCACCTCAAACGTTTCTTTGTGACACTAACAGTTTCTAACGTCTCAAGTGGGCAGAAAGCAGACCTTCGTCCAGTCCCTCACCCGGCCTCGAGCCGTGAGCTCGCGGCGGCCAGACGCTGGCCCTCGCGAGCTGCCGCCGCCGCGTGGAGACGGAGGAGGCCGGGAGAAGCTGGCAGCGTGTGCCAGCTGGAGTTAGGGTAGAGTTAGGAGCAAGAGAATCTAGGTCCACCAGTAGTGCCCTTTTGAACCCCTTTTTTGGGGGAGGGTTCCACTACTAAAATAGACTGTGTCCTGGGCGGACTTTGAGCGTACCAGCGCACGCCATGTGAAACTCATTGAGGCTTGGGGGCGACAGAAAGCACCTACAAGCAAACCCACAAAACCTACTGCCCTCCGCCCCCATCCGCTTCCGAGACTGCCAGCGCCTCAAGTTGGCGGCAAATTCTCTGGGAGCTACGAAGGTGCAAAAGTGCCCCAAGCTTGCAAAGATAAATCGCAAAAAGCTAAAGCAAAAGCCTTCGTCGCCTTGCGTCGGCAACAAGTGTGACTCTACCTGGGCCTCTTGCAACCTCAAGCGCTCAAGCGCAAAGTAGGCATACCGGCCAGCAAGCAAGTCATTGGCTGAGTGATGGCTGCCCCGAAGTCTTTACAAGCACACACCCGGAAGAGCAAGCCACATGCGAATTTGCGGCAGAAGAGGGCTGGCTCTTCTGGGCCCCAGTACGACTCCGCCTCCCCTTAACCAAACCAAAAGGAAAAGGGTGGTGCAGAGCTGGTAGCTGCGATTGCCACACTCTAACTGGGAAAGCTCGCAAGGCGGCAGCTCGGGAACCCCCCACAGCTGCGCTGCACTCCGAAGTGCTCTGCGCGTTCCTTCGCGGAGCGGGTTCTCACGGGCAACACTCCTGGGGGGCACACCGTGAGCTCCAAGAAAAGCGTTTTCGCGCGCTTTGTCTTGCAGCTGGCAAAGCGCGTCATGGGAGGTGTCATCCCGAAGCACGTCCGAGGCAATGCATTGCAAGTGAAATGGCTGCTGGCTGAACACATTCAAGGCTTCTTCGATTCCACTGGCTTGTCTCTGGTCTTCGCGCAAGAACAGCACATAGAAAGTTGGCTTACTTAGGTGCTGCGCAACGCGCGGCCAGCACGCAGGTCTGGACACTTTAGCAGGGGTTTCCAAGCAGATCGCCTCATCTTCCTCCTGTGTGAGCGTGGCAGACTGAGCGAAATCAAGCCATTGAGGCTTGGGCTTGCTCGTGTTGCGTGGCGGGCCTCTAGCTGCCTCCCATATACTATAGATCCCTGTACATCTTCGTATTGTATAAGCAGCTCGATGAATGTGCGCTGAAGGCTTGCGGTGCTGGCAAGGACAGTTGCAGGGCAAGTGCCCAGAGCACGCCAAAGCGCTGCTGCGGTAAAGTCACCAGCACGAAACCACGTCGCAAGCTGGCGCAACCAGTGCGTGAGCTGGTCTGGATCCCACACCCCAGTTTCTGCTGGTTCAACGCTGACAACGGTTATCAGACTACTTAGTTGGATTGGCGGCTTTCGTTCTTCACCCTGCAACAGACACGCGTGTCGCAAGGCAGCAAGCTGCGCTGTGCTACTTGCAGGCAGTCTCTATGCTTAGACGGGCTCCGAAAATGCACAAGCAGGCGTTGAGTGCTCCAGAATTCAACCAAGCAAATGGGGCAGTGCGTGGACTCAGCATATGAGGCGGCCTCAGAGCGCCTTGTGTGGCACAGTGCGGTGCATGCGCAGTAGGCTGCGCAGCGACGTGGAAAGTTGCCCCAGCCTCGCAAAGTCTGCTTTCGGTACGCAGCTAGGTCAGACCACAAGCGTGCTTGGCATATGCTCGTGTATGTTGCCTGTCGAACTGCCCGTCTCCACTTTTTAGGTTGCTGCCGAGCAAAGTCCAAGGCCCAGTCGGGCTCGAAAGGGTGCGTCATGCTCGTGAGCCAGTTTCCGGCGTGTGCCCGCATCCAAGAGACGTCGTCCTCAACAAGGTGGAGCCAAGAGTCTGACCTGCTGGCGTATTCAAGGCGAAGCAAGTTCAAAAGGACACGAAAAGAAACAGACAAACCTTTGGTGCAGGTTGCCAAGGGATGTTAGGACTGAATAACGTTTTGCCAACTAGTGGGTGTTGCGAATTAATTCACTAAAAGTTAAACTCTTAGCAGGGGAGCAGAAAGCAACCGAGAAATGCATGTTTTCTTGGTGACTCGAAAATTATAAGAATAAACACGTATGATTTGTGGCAACCAGCCTCCGCTTCACATCCCCAAAGTACCTTCCGTGCAGAGGTTGCACCCGGTTGATTCAGAGTTGTTGGGGCTTTGTGTCCTGGATGTGTTGTGGGGCATTGATGCTTGCGTCTGGGTGTGGTCTTTTTTTTTGGCACACGACAGCTGCTTTCATGTTCTCCTGCCGAAGGTGCAGGCCCGGGCAGCACCTAGTCCTCTAGTGGCAGAGCTTGAGGAGGCGCCGAAGAGGGAAGGCAGATGAAACAAGGGAAGTCACGGAAAGCCTTTACTGAAATGATTGGAAGCATGCAAGGTGACAAGCAGTGAAAACTTCAAATTGCTCGAATCATGCCAGCACTCAAATGGTGCGAACCAATGCGAAGTGCCTCCAGAGGCTCAGCTGCAGTTCCACAAAATCCAGGACAAAATGCGTCTGGAGCCAAGCCACGCATTTGCGGATACTTGCATTTGATTATCTGTGTCTTATGGCGCGCAGCAAATACTGGCGCGGATTGCATGACATTGATGGCGCTTTGCGAATTTAATGAGTTTCAAATGATCTCGTAAGTTTCCTCTTGTTTTTCATTGCGGAGAGGGGGGGGTAGGGCGGGACACAATTCGCACTTGCGCTTAGGCCAACAAGCGACGAAACAGAAGGTGAACGACGCCTTCAAGGTGCAAACATGTGTGATAGACTCTTAGTGTTTGAACCGTCGCTGATGGCCATACGCATGATTTGATCGAATATGCCTCCGTGTTGTGTGGAATATTTGGTTGTTGTGCCGCGTGTCCTGAACTTGCTGAACACCTTCAAATATTGTTTGTGAGAGGTTCATTCCCGTGCCAGGTGCCAGTTTTCCAACAGCCCGCTTCCAAGTCTGTGCGTGTGCGCGTAAATTTGAGTCTATGGCGGTCGCGGATTTAAGTGTCAGACTCGTGTGTTGATGCATCGAACATTTTTGTCACAAAACTCAAAACCTTGGGAATGATGTTGGCCAATAATAGGCATACAGGGATGGGTGCCAAGCTGCCTCGGCTCAACAAGTTGAACTCGCGCCCCGCATTTTCGTCCGGGACCGCAAAGGCGAAGAACCACTGTACTGACCTCAGCGATGTGTGACAGGTGCAAAACAAACATGGCTGAATCGATACAATCCCTAAAATTGTTTGGTTCCACAAAACAATTTGTCCCGCAAGTTGCAAGGGCTGGAGTGCACCGAAATTTCGCCATGAAGCGAACAACCCGACTAATTCGCAGTTGCACTTGTGCATGTTGGTCGATTTTTGGTTCTCCCGGCCGGATGTCAAGATGGATCCCAAACCGAATTGGACGTTGTTGACTCTTGCGGTTTTTTCACGAAATCCGGGGTCACGAGCCAATCATTGGCAATTGCGGCGAACTCACCATCAAAATGCAATTGAGTTGGGTTGCCGAATGATTCGAACATTTGTTTGTTGCTTGCCAGGTGAATGAGAAGAATCGCGTTCGCCTCAGCATTCTGCATTTCGCCAGAGCACATCCAGTGTGCGGGTTTGATTTGTTCATTGTGCCGCACAAAGCAGGCATGCAATTTTTTGCCAAGTTGTCCATATACCGGCGGCAGCACGGCTGTGACATGTCAAACATGATGTGTGTTGCATTGAGTGGATTGTTGCAGTGATAGCAGCAGCGTGTTGATCACTTAAAATTTTATACAGAAGAAAATTTAATACAGAAGACTTATTTGATTTTGACAACAAAACACTTCCATCGAATTGAACAGTTCCTGCTCAACACAGCAGGCATGTGCTGCCATCAACAGCTAATGCAAAGTCAAATTTGCTGAAAGTGCCCCTTGGATTTGTTGATGCCAGCTGAATATCGCGCCCAACCGGCATGGAATGGCGGACCTCGAGGTGGGCAGTCGGGTCTTTGTCCACGGCCTCGCCAGCGCGCAAGGCCAGGCGCTGAATCTGAAGGCCGGCCGCGTGGTGCACATTTCGGAGGGTCGTTATGGTGTCGAGGTGCCGGGAGTCGCTCCCAAGCTCCTGAAGCGAATGAACCTACTAAATGCTGCGCAGTGCGAAGACCGGCAACTCTTCCTGCAGCTGCTGGTGCTAAAGCGCGCCAAGCTGCGCCTCGTTCTGCCGGTATTGAAGCACCTGCTCAAAGATGACCTGGGGTTGATTTTGCTGGTGGCTTCCTACACCACAGCAGCCCCCCGGTGCCTTTTCCAGTTCGGCGGCTTCATGGGCAAGTGCTGGCCCGAATCTTGGTGCTTCGCCCAGCCCCAGCCTCGGCGCTTGGCGCAGCCCGCAAAGGCCAGGTTGGACAGCGCCAGCTGTGAGCTGAGCTTGGGCCGCGTCTTCTTTGCAGGACTCATGTGTTCAGTTGCATTTTGTTTTTCTTTTTCGGTGGCCGCCCCACTAAAAGTGGTCTTCCCCAAGAAGGGTTCCCTTTTTCTCCAGGGTCACTGAACTGAGAGGAGGCTGCAGTCATCATCCCCGCCTTTGCGGACCCGAGGATTTCTTCAACTCCGCGGAGCTCTACGACTGCCTCACCGACGAGTGGCAACCCTTGCCAGCGATGCTCACTCGTCGACACGGAGCCAAGGCGTGCCAGCTGGATGACAAAGTTTATGTGCTGGGCGGCATGTATGTGGATGAGCGGCCGGTTTCCATGGAGGAGAAGTTCTGCGACGTGTTTGATGCCCAGTCTGGCAGTTGGACGTCCCTGCCACGGTCCGCCTATCGCCACATGCCCCTGAACGAAACCATCCTGGAGCACAGTGCCTTCTTCGGCGCCGGCGCTGTCAGTGGTCGGTTGGTGGCATTGCTGGGAAGTGTTACAGCGGTGTACAATCCGCAGCTCGTTGAATGGCGGGTAGTTCAGCCCACCAACGTAGAGGTTGGTTCTTCCTCTTGCTGCGCGGTCTTCAAGGAGGAGCAGGGCTCCTTAACAGATACATTTTGCCCCCATTTGAGACATGTTGTTTTTCAACATCAACATAAGGCAATGTTCAGGTGTATAATGTAAGGATCCCTGAGGAGCTGGTGGTCGCATCCGGGCGACCTGAGACCTATTCCCGCCGAGTGGCCGCCTTCCGTTTTCACAAGTCCGCGTCAGACCCCGCGTGGTTCGAGGGCTCCTGGCGCCAGCTCCCGGCCTTGCGGAAGAGCCGCGTGGGCGGCGCCATGGCGGTGCTGGACGGACGTTTCTTCGGCGCAGTTTGCCAACGGATTTTTGGATTGTAACTTTTTGACAACTAACGATTTAATGGGGTTTCCGAATCGAACCACTGAAAGTTAGTCACTTTTAGCAGGGGAGCAGAAACTGAGGTTTGTACATCACCGGCGGTGTGGACGAAAGCAGCGGCGAGTTCTCCGACTGCGCGGAGCGCTTCACGGAGGAGGGCTGGGTCCCTGTGCCATGGTTCCAGATGCCTCGCGCGCTGCATGCGCATGACACCTTTGCGCTGCCCTTCCTGGACTGAGCGCCCAAAAAATCGTGCGTGCGCATGGAATGAAAGCCAACCATATCATGGAACACGTGCTCCTCGGCTCTGCGGCCATCAATGTTGCGAACCACTCAATTGTAAAGCCACGTCCGAGGTGAATGGCATGAACTCGCAGCATTGTCAGCTCCTCGGAGGGGCGGCGTGCCATGTTTTATTGCACTAGCATGTGCGTTTTTTTTTTTGGTGGCGGCTCATCGACCTTTTGCCTATGGTGGCCCCATGCTTGCGCTTGCGCCGCAACAACCATATTATCTTGAGAAAACAATGCACCTGCCATGACATTGTGAACACTAGTGCATTCGGCAATACTTACGTGTTTGCCAGTTTCCAGGTTTGATCTCAATGTTGGTAGTACAGAGATGCCCATTGATCAAATAAGATAGAGCGCAAGAGGGAACAAGTGGCAGTGTCAACCCATGTTGTGTTTTGAATCGCAGCATCATAAGCACTTACACTCCCACCTCGAACGGCAATTAAACGTTGTCCCGCGGAGCGCCGGGTTGATTGTTGGCATGGGGACACAGAAACCTTGCGTGGAGTGTATCATGATATCATGTATGCTGTAGGAGGCAGCTCACAACCGGGTTTCCTATGTTCGGCACATTGTGTGCCTTTGTCTTAAGTTTTAAGGGGTCAAACAAGCTCCCTGTTGGACCCTTTCGATGGTCTCCCAAGGTTGCGCCGCTGTGACGCTTTGAGAGCACAGGAGGCCAGCTGTCAGGTGGTTGCGTTGGATGTGCATGGAAACCTATGTTTATCCAGACTCAAATCGTACTTTGACGGCACTATTGACCACTTGTCGTTGTCGCTGTGTTTCTTAGGAGCCAGCTACGATCTGCTAAGATTGATATGAAGGGCTCGCTGTGAGCGACCCTTTTATCTTAAAGTTAGGGTTGTGTTTTTGTCAGATGGTTTTTCAGGGACCCACCGTACAAAGGAATCCAATTTCAGGAAACAACCTGGATTGCGTTTTTAATGGATCCGACAATTCTGCGTTGATGACTTCCAGCATTTTGGAAGAGCTCTGTTTTGCCTGGGTGTCGGGAAGGACATTGGTTTTTTTACCGACTAATTACAGGTTTACCAGCATGACCCCGCGCAGATGCGCGGCAGAGAAACAATACCTGTTGCAATGCCAATTGCTTCGCGCACAAATCATGGCCATGGCCTTCGGTGCCCTCTCTGTTCCATCGCAATGTGAGGGATGCGGGGCATCCTTTTGCACGCACACTCACGCCTAAATTGGAGATTTCTACAAGTGTCGGTGGTTTCTTTCTTGTCCCGCTCAAACACCCCCTTGACAAGTGTTGTAATCTCAGAAAGGCGATTGCAACCTCATCCACAATCGCTTTCATAGGGAAACTGTATGTTGGTTTGTTGAGTTATCATGAATGAATTACCATATTTCATGTCAATGGATTTGGGTATCATAATTGCTCCACCGCCCAGTTACATGGACGATGGCAGGGAATCAAGGTGTCGCTTTGAGAAGACCTGGGTGGCGCCCTTCCCTCAAATTCCCTCAAATTTGTCAGAGGCAGGTTACCTTCGCTTTGGTTAGACCTCCAAAAGCTGTCCCCAGCTTTGGGACATGGGGCAACCCTTTCGGTCTCAGAGGCCCGACGGGGCCCGCCCTTTTTTTCTAGTGCTACCTTCCCCATTCTTTCCAAGGATCCTTCTTTCTAGGAAAATTCCGGAAACTCAGGGAAACGGCCGGTTTTTGAGAAGAACGATGGTTGAAAAGAATGGGGAATCAACCGTTAGATTTTTGAGATCGTGCACGGCCCCTCCTTTCGTCGCAGGCCAAGCAGCAGCAAAGTTTGCGGGAGGTGCAAGAGCAGAGAGAGGCCTTGGCCGAAGACCTAGAAGGGTCGATGGAGGAACTGTCACGGTGGGACTTGGGTAAATTTGGAATGTGTGGAATTTGGGTATTAGCTTGTCTCATACTCAAGGACCCCATGTCATGCCAGCGGCTACATTTTTGTGGATTGCTGCATCACTGTTGTTTTTGTTTTTTGTGTTTTGTTTCGGTACGCATGTGTTTGTGCTGCGAATTTGCAGGTAGTTGGTGTTGGGCAGCTTTGTCAGCGGAGCTTTCTATCGTCATTGTTGTTTGTTTGCAGGAGGTTGTGTGTTTTCTTTTTGGGCACACAGGTTGCAGCAATATTGCTGTCCATCCTGCAAATGACGAGATCTCACAGAGGGGGTTTGCGACTCGTCCTTCATGAAGGTGTCATCCATCAAGGAACCCTTGGTGAGTATGGTGGTGTCGTTTGTTGTTTTCTTCAAATCCATCGAAACAGGGGGTTGATCGTTTTTGGAAACGCATTTGAAAATCCGTTGCAAAATAGAGAACTTGAAAAAACAATAAGCTCGGGCGATATCCCCAACAGCACCACACCCTCCCAGAATCCTCGCGGAACGCCCCGGACTGTGCTTACCGCCGGTGTTGCTGAGGATGCCGCCTTGTAAAGCAAAGCTACGAGTGACAGCGCAATCTTGCCCTGATCGGGGCCCGACGGCGCAATCGGGGCCCGATCGGGGCCCGACGGCGCAATCGGGGCCCGATCGGGGCCCGACGGTGCAATCGGGCCCGATCGGGGCCCGATGGTGCAATCGGGGCCCGATCGGGGCCCGACGGTGCAATCGGGCCCCGATTGTCCCGTGGTGCAACCCCAGCCACCCATATTATAGCTCAGCGCCGGTTTTCCGGGGCCCGATCGGGGCCCGACGGTGCAATCGGGGCCCGACGGTGCAATCGGGCCCCGATCGTCCCGTGGCACCCATATTATAGCTCAACGCCGGTTTTCCTTAGTATGCGGATTGCAACTGTATCTATAGCAAAACTAGGCGATGCCTCGCAAACCGTTCTCACGCAACTTTCGATGGAGCTCAGCGTGAAACTTTGCTGGAACCTTTCCTCAGGGCTGCCCCATAGCTTTTACAGAATTTGGTGGAAACCTTCTGACCTCATAGCCCTCGCAGCCTCGTGGAATTCTTGGAACCCAAAGCCCACCAAGCAGCAATGCCAAGCATTTACTCTGCTGCACCGTGAGTTCCGCAGCGACGTGATCTGATTTGCCACAAAGCCAACATTTGCCTGAGCAAGTGAGCAAGTCACAAAACAGTGAAAGTGTGCGAAAAACCATTGATTTCGGTTTTGCTTAGTGTTCCGCCCATAAGCAAAGCGATCTTGATTTTCAGACGACGGGCGCACGACACACCCTTGGTGGAGCATTGTGGAGCCTGTGGAATCCTTGCAGAGCTTTGTGGAAGAACCCTGAAACCCTCATACAACCTTACCTCAAACCACCCCGGACCACCCCGCAGCCCTCGCAGAACCTCGTGGGACCCTGCTAGAACCGTGCTGGAATGGAACCTTACCTTGCACAACCTGGTGGAATTCTGGTGGAATTCTCATGGAACATTACCTCAAACCAGCCCGGACCGCTGGTGGAATTCTGGTGAAACCCTTGTGGAAACCTTCCCCGGACCACGCCGCACCCTCGAAGAAATGGGTTGCACGACGGGCTGGTGGAACCCTGGTGCAAACCTGGTGGAACCCTCGTGGAACCTAACCTCAAACCACCTCGGACCACTCTGCAGCCCTCGCAGAACCTGGTGAAACCCTGGCAGAATTCTGGTGCAAATCTGGTGGAACCCTCGTGCAACCTTCCTCAAACCAGACCACCCCAGCCCTCGAAGAAATTGCTGCAACCGGAACCCTGGTGGAACCCTCGTGGAACCTTACCTCAAACCACCTCGCACCTTACCTCCAAACCACCCAGACCACCCCGCAGCGTGGAACCCTGGTGGAACCCTGGTGGAACCCTCGTGGGAACACCAACCCTGGTGGAACCCTCGTGGAACCTTACCTCAAACCACCCCAGAACACCCGCCCTTGCAGAACGTGGTGGAACCCTCGTGGAACCCTCGTGGAACCTTACCTCAAACCACCCCAGAACACCCCGCCCTTGCAGAACCTGGTCAAACCCTGGTGGAACCCTCGTGGAACCTTACCTCAAACCACGAACACCCCGCCCTTGCAGAACCTGGTGGAACCCTGGTGGAACCCTGGTGGAACCCCTGGTGGAACCCTGGTGGAACCTTAGCTCAGGTCGCCCCGAACCACCCCGGAGCCTATCTGGGCTGAGACCCCAAAGCTTTCAGCTGTTGGGGAAAAACACAATCCAAGGTGAACATAGATGACGCTGCTTTCCGATTTGCAATCATATAGTCATCCCTTTCATTGTGCCGGCGCTGGATTTTGTGTTTGCCACATCCGCTGATCTATCTCGCCTTGCCTAAAATCATGTATCCTGGTGACAAATAGCACGGCTTTTGACTGCTGATCTGGGCATGACACAACTTGTCGATGTATACCTGAAGACAGTTGACAAGCGAGGTTCGGCCAAGCCTATAGTCCATTTGGGAGGGATGTGGGCGACTCAGGAAAACTAGGGCACTCACCGAAATTTAACCTGCCAAGGGGAGACAAGTAGTTTCTGGCTCAAACAGCATCCGTGGTTGCATACAGCAAGCAGCGCATGGCCACCAAAAGCAAGGAATCTGTTTGGACAGCTGTTGACCACTGCTGGGGTGCCGTCAGCATCATTGTGTTCTTGGTGTGTGTGTGTGTGTGTTTTGTGTGTGGTGTCTTCGGTTCCGTTTGTTTGTTGATTTCTTTGTCCCCTGTCTCTTTGTCTCCTTGTTTTCTTGTCTTTTTGTCTCTGTGTCTCTCTGTGTCTCTGTCTCTCTGTCTCTCTGTCTGTTTCTCCCTCTGTCTCCTTGTCTCTGTTTGTTTGTCTGTCTCTTTGTCTCTTCGTCTCTGTCTCTTTGTCTCTTCGTCTCTGTCTCTTTGTCTCTCTCACTCTCTTTCTCTGTCTCTCTGTGTCTCTGTGCCCCTATGTCTCTGTTTCTCTCTTTCTCTCTCTCTCTCTCGCCCTGTCTCTCTGTCTTTGTGTCTCTGTCTCTCTTTGTCTTTTGCTCTCTGTCTGTGTCTCTGTGTCTCTGACTCCCTGTCTCTTTGTGTCTCCGTGTCTTTGTGTCTCTGTCTCTTGGTCTCTGTGTCTCTCTGTCTCTCTGTCTCTCTGCCTCTCTGTCTCTTTGTTTCTCTGACTCTGTCTCTCTCTCTCTCTCTTTGTGCCTCTCCGGCTCTCTGTCTGTCTCTGTCTGTACGTCTGTCTGTCTCTGTGTCTCTGTGTCTGTCTCATTGCCAGCCATTGGTTCTCCCTTTCCCTTCAGGAGTTTGGCACTGGGCTAGCGTCTCATTCGAACTGCAACTGCATTCGCTTAAAAATAGTTTCGACTTCTCCAGACTCAGAGTGTGTTGCATGCGTGACCTCCGGCTGTCGATTGCCCATCCGGCTGACATGGTGTCTTCATCCGCCCTGTCGGATCGCGTGTTTTGTTGGCCGAGGCTGCGGAGCTTTCAGAGCAGAAGCGGCAAGTGGCGCTGGCAGGCCGAGAAATCCATCTGGTTTCCAAGCACCCAGTTGTAGTTTGGAGTTATTGGGCGGGTTGGAAGCTATAAAGTTTGGCTGGACTGATTTTGCATTGTTTTTTGTTTTTGTTTTTTCTCGGAAACTCTTGAAGCTGAGGTGATCAGATCATAGTGTGTTTGAGCGGATATCAATTTCTCAGGGGGTGCCCAGTGGTTTGCATACGGCAAATGGACTTAGTACGGCCGGGTGCGGTTGAACGGAGCCCGTTGGAGTGTGTTCCTCGACCCACCAAAAAAGGGGTCACTCCCCCAGCATTTCGCACATGTGGTAGCCTCAAATAAATGTGGCTCGTCATTTTTGACCTGTGCCCACTGTAACCAGTTTACAATCAGACTGGGGCCCACAGCCTCGATACAAAAGGGTTGGTAATATGTCGGCACGCGTTTGAAGCTAGGCTGCGAATGCGTCAGTGGTTTCTGTTTGCATTACTGTGTCCTCGAACCTGCGTTGACATGGTGCTCGATTTTATGCGTTTGCAGGTGCCTGCATACTGTTGGGACTCACCGCATCAGGGAACAACGCAATTTCCACCCTGCAATGCAGACCAGGGGGTCCGTCCCTGTTGCAAAGGACGGTTCCAAAACACACAAAATGGAATTAGTCAGTTGAGGTCGAAACCTAGTTTTGATACTACAACCGGCAAGCGTTCAAGATGGCTGGTTCCCACGCACGATGTACTATCACAGCGGTTGTTTGTTTTCCATGTTTGGCTCCTTGGTTGCTCTTCGGTGCAACTTGCTACCTCTACACGTTTGGAAGAATATTTTTTCCTCCTTAAAACCAACAATTTTCTCAACACTTGACTTGTTGCTGCAGGTTTGCTGCTGCAGTGAGTCAGTAAAGTCCAGGCATCTTTACATTTCGGCTCCAGAAACACCGTTCAGAAGATTCGTCCACGCCCGCGTGTGCTCTCGACGCCATGGAGAAGAAGGCTGGGTTTTTGCTCGGACGCCTCTTGCACGGTCGATGAGGCCATTGTGTGTGATGCACCCAAGTCCCATAGGTGTCCTTTTTGGTGGTTGAAAAATAGAGGGCCCTGGTTTACCTGGCGGTTCAATCAACTCAACTACCAGGGCCATCTATTTTCCCAAAAAGGACACCTATGCCAAGTCCCTTTCCAAGCGAGAAAGTCGTCGTGTCCACATGCTGTTGGATTCTTAAGCATGCAGAAAGGGGGGGCGTGTTATTCCGAGACATGCCCAAATTTGTTTGTGTAGATGAACTAGTCGTTGCTTTTTTGCAGCAAAGCCAGAGGGAAAGGACCCACTTTGGACTATTGGGAGACATATCCATGCCTTCAAGAAACACAAGCACGCTGTCGAACACCCTTAACAATGGCTGATGGTCATTTTGTTTGGTTTTTTAGGGGGACCCCCAAATTGTGTTTTGTTTTTTTTCGTTTGATTCCCCTTACCACAGAGACATGAGTACCAACCCAAAAAAGACACCCCATATTAAAATGCGTACCTGGCGCGGCGCCTGAAACCCATTTTGCCACAGGCGGATCCATTGCAGCTCGGATGGGGAATGTAGCCAAACCGGCATACATCTCCCGTTTCACTTGGGCCGCGGTTTTTGGCAGCAGGTCAGACGTCTAGACAATCCAAGCCCAGCGGAATGGAAGCTGTCTCTTTTGACCGGAGGGCCCCCTTCATCCCATGCATCAAGCCACCTTGCAGAGAGATGGGTGTGCCTATGCCTCAACTTCAGGGAACCCTAAGAACGAATGTTTATCCTTTTTGGTGTCCTTTTGCCGCATCCCCCGAACAGCCCAACAAATTGAGAGCCACATGTGGCTCAAAGACCCCAGAACTCGCTCGGCAGGCCGAGCAGCTGAGAAAGACCTATCCGAACCATGCGCCCGTGATTTGCGCGCCTCGGTGCGTGTGAAAGCGATCCAAATCGTTCGGGGGCATTGGAACCCCGTTTTGAATTTGGGTTTGAAGGGATCATCCATGGCAATTCTAGGAAAACATCACTAACTAGTACAGGCGGGAAAAGGGCCCCAGCGCATTTTTAAAAAAATGGTTTGGATGATGCACAATTTTCAGCATTCTACGCCATCGAACCGTTAGAATCAAAACGATTGGGCTCCTTGCTATCTCCGACGACTAAACATTTCCCAGCAGACCCAGCTTTCAACATTCACGCAATCAACGGCATAGTGCTGGTGTGAGCGATGTTCATGAAACAATGCAGCCATGTTGGTGCAGGGGGCATTGTGACAGTCCAGTGCAATCTCCCAGCTGCGGCCAGCCGAAGGAAATTGACAACAATCATGGGAGCTGAAAAGCAAATGCAGGCCGCCCCTAGTTTTCAGTTGCATACTGGTTTCAGATGGTTTGGACAATTTGGGTTTCTACTAGTTCAAGGTTGAAGACCTGCGTTCCCAAGACCGCAGGGATGGTGCGACCATTTTGTATTTTCCCAAGAACGGCAAACCGTTTGCTTGAGCGGCGAGTGCGTCATGCCACAGATTCTTCCACAGGCACAGATGTAGGTGTTGTTGCCAAAGCGACAACCCAAGTCCAGCCTTGTGATCGCCCATGTTCATGGTTGGCAGTAGTATGTTGTGCTGAGGCAAAGCAGTTGTATGTTTAAATGTTGTGAAGGGTGCCCAGAGTGTGTGCTATCCGAAGCAGATTCCAAACACCTTCTTGATTGAACAAAAAAACAAAGTGAAAGAGGTGATGTTTCCTTGGTTTCTCTTCACCAACCCCAAAGGCATTCCCTCAAGCAACCCACCCCACCCCTCCACCCCCCACACACGCCGCATGCCACGTGTCCCAAGGAGCCCGACGACTCGGAGCCCGAGAAGCCGCAGAAGCTCATCGTGCCGTACGTGAAGACAGGCGAATGGACTCACCAGATGTTTATCCTCAGAAAACAAGTATTTTTTTGTTTCGCGTCAGTAAAGGTCGGAGGATTCATGCAGTAAAGGTCTACAAGAATCAGGGACTCACCAAATGTGTGATGTCCTTCTCGGAAAAAAAAAAAAAAAACACCTATTATTATTGTTCAAGGTATGTAAGGGTCCACAGAAACCAGGGACTCACCAAATGTGTGATGTCCTTGTGGAGGAAGAAGTAAGTTTTTGTTGGGTCATATCAAAACCAACCATTGGATTACCCTTAGCTGCTGGTTTGGATTGGTGGTTTGGGGATTGAGACGCTTCTTGTTTTGGAAGCCACCAGCTATCCTTCAAGCCATCTAAACCGCCAAGCAACGTGGGCTGAAACTAAAGGGCTACCCAGCTTGCGGAAAAGACTCGCTATAGCTAAGATGTTGTTTTTAGCAGCGGACTCACTTAGAACAGTCCCCCCATGACATTTCTTTGAAATTGCATTGGCGCCACAGGTTAGAATTGTACTCATATTTCTGAGTGTTCTGGCAATATCACGCTTGGAATCTGCCAACAAGAACATCATCGGTTTGCCGGGTCCTCGGGGGAATGTACCGTTGAAATGTCTTACAGATTAAAGTATTTGAAAGGAGTTGGACACCGCAGGATTGAACATCGCAGATCTCAGAGCGAACACCCTGCGTCCCACCAAACATAGCACGTCACACGGGGTTTCTTTTAGAGGAGCCTGTTCTTCCAGGTACCCTCGCAGAGGTGATACGTTTGTTGGAGGAAAGGTAGCCCCCAATTACAAAAGTTTGTGTGCGGCGTTGGTGTCGCCCAGTTTTCGTCACAATCAATTCAATCAATATGGGCGTGGCCCAAACTCCCCACTTGGAAACCGCCGCCTCAGTATATGAATGAGCGTCTAGTTGTCCAACCACAACATGGCACCATAGTCATTTCCCAACATAGACCACCAGCATAGACAAATCTATGGGCCCCTTGGAGGAAACCCACCTGGGTCAAACAACCACATGGTTCGCATTGAGCTACAAGGATCACCAGGCAGAGGTTTTTTTTGCCACCTTTTGTGAGAAAAAATGGCGAGCCCCTGAAAAAGGAATCCTTCACTACGCGGGGGTCGAAGCAAATTTTTCAGGCGAAAAAATCGACCCGGTCACCAGGTCGGGGTTCATTTCTTGAGCCCCCGAGCCGGTGAGAAAGGCGAGGTGTCCTTTTGGGTCGCAAAAAATCGGTGGGTTTCGATTCCTGGTTCGCCTGGTGGTTTAGTCTGCCATCGATTTGCCTTTTAAAAGGACTATGGGGGCTCACCCATTCACTGATTGAGCAGGTGAGGAGCCGGAGCCCGAGTTGGGTTCAATCCAGGGATGTTTGCGATGATTTCTTTTTGTGACCACTTTGTTCAAGAACTTCTTTGGTGCATTTTGCTTGGATGTTAGGACTTTCACTTTTGCCAACTAATGGGTTTTCCATTCAACCACTAAAAGTTGAACTTTGAGCAAGGGAGCAAAAGCAACCGAGACTTGGTGTTCGTGTAAATGGACCCCGGCATTAGGCAAACTTGGATGGGGTTGCGTCCAAAATGAACTGTTTGACACCCATGGGTGATCTCCAAAACGACGCAGATAGCATGTGGCACTTGCCGTTGCTCGCAGCTTCTGCAGTTTCAGTCAATCAATGTCCACGCTTTCTGGGCAAAAGAGATGCCATATTGCCTAATTTGTGCAAAGCTTCCGGAAAAGGCAGCCCAAACCGCGACGGGTAAGTTGTGCTGTTGATTGTTTCTTTCCGGACCTTCCTGTTGACACCCGGATTCGGCCAGTTTAGCATGCCTGTCGCGCGAGATCACAAAACCTCGGCTGGGTTCCCAAGTTTCGTTTGGACCTGTTGTCAGACAGTTAGAGTCCCTTACCCCGTAGAAGGACTCTTATAACCCTTGTGAGAATACTTTCTCACAAGGTTCTAAGAACCCTTCCAGTTTCAGCCAACAAAGTTAGCCCAAACAGACAACCGCTGTTATGGAACTTGTAAACAATACGTATGGTTCATTGCACACTAGGACACAAGCTGGTAGCAGTTAAGCCGTTTTTTC